CTGCAGCAGCTGGGCCCAGAGAAGCGGAACTCCGAGGGTGTCGGGCTCTCTCCGAGGGTGGCGAACTGGAGGTGGAGGTTTCTGCTACCGGCGAGACCATTTGGTGAAGCTGTACACCCCGAAAAACACAGGTGTACGTATGGGATAGGGCCATAGAAGAGGGCTGTTCATAAGTTGTTCCGATTTTGGCGAGTTGAGTCCGATCTTGGCGAAGCGCCTTGCAGGGAGCATGAGCCGTGACTGGATTTGGACAGGACATGATGTGAATTCTTGTGATCAAGTCAATAGTGGATCAAACTTAGTCTTACGCGGTGGATTCATGAGCATCCTTCAACAAGAAAGCCAGTCTGTCCCCCCTTGGTTCATTTGGTCTGCAACACACGCACATACTTGATGCACTCCGGTCTTTTTTTTAAGGGTTACCGACGTGACGCTCAGAGTGGGAACATCGACTGGGACGTCGACTGGGACGTCGAAGTGTCAATCCCAAGGGACCCGGCTTCTAGCTACTAGTAGCTTCTGGTGGAAAACACCTGGACTCCGAGCGAATCGAACCTGGTTCTGCTCTCCGACCCGGACTTCGTTCGCTCTCTCCACGAATCTCCGAGGCGAAATCCAAGGCGAAGGCGGCCCCGGAGGCGGGTCGTGGCAACGACTGCCGCGCGGTCGGTCGGTCGGGGGGGGGCCTGGCGTCGCTCAACACGGGGCGGTTGGGCGCATGAGAAAGTCTCATCTGCGCGATCCAAAGGAAAAGACCAGGCAAAAGATGTAGGTCCAGACTCAAAGCATCAGGCTTTATGTTTTGGTGGATATTGATCAATGTGTGAAAACGTGTACTGCTCTCACTTCGGGGCAGATGCTGCTGGGGAACCCTTACACTGAAAGAAAGGTTCTGGCCGAGCGAGCAGCGAACGATTTTTCGCGAGCGAATGACCACAGACTAGCAGGTCCCAACTAGCGAATGAATGGGTTCAGTTGTAGGAGAGGGCCTGGTTTCATCTTGGAGAGTTGTATATGTAACTCCGCCAGATCAGTTGCCGCCCTCAACGAGTCAATTGAAGATGGTTGAGGATGGGCGCAGTCCTGCTCTCCCAGATACCCAGATCTCTGTATTTTGCTCATGCCATTCCTGGAAATGACCCCTCCAAAAGACCAATGGCAAAGAGGGGTTCGATTGGAGTCTTCCTTTAACTTCCCGCTGTGATGCCTGAAGGATTGGGAACTTCAGGATGCTAACTTTCAACAGCCCAGTCTCCACACGTGACTGCGAACGAGCCTGCAGGCCGCCAAGCCGAAGGAAGCTCCAAAGGCAAAGGCAGACCCGAAGGCGAAGGCAGGTGCGGCCAAGGCGAAGGCGAAGGCGGTGCCTTGGCTGGAAGTGGAGTGGGTGGGTGCGTGCATCGGGTGAGGTAGACATCCAAGCCAAAATATGTATTAAAGAGATATATATATATATATTATATCTGTACATTTGTACAGTACGTATATGTGCATTCACGTATATATAGATTTATACAATCTTTTTTTTGCGTGTTGCTTTGGCTTTTGGACTTGAATGGTGTTCGTGGTTGGTTTTAGTGTTCCCATTAAGGAAGTTGGAGGGTTGGTTGTGGGGTTTACTAACTTCTCGGAAGATAGTTCGCAGAAACCGCCAATGGCTCCCGCGCAGGAGCCGGCTCCTCCGCCCCCGGCGCCGGAACCTGCGCCTAAAGCGAAGGCGCGCCAATCTTCAGATAGGATGGAACGAGACAGGACCTTCTACAAATAGATCGAGTTCTTCTCGGGATACGAATGACTTTTCATGTGTTTTTTTTCCATCATGGATGAATGATCAAAAAGATCCGGAAGTTGCAAAGACCATTGGAACTGTGGGTATGCCGACAGCTCAAGTTGGACCCTTCCAGCAAGGAGAGGCAGGCAGTGGGCCCACAGGTTTCCCACAACAGTCCAATGGCTCCTGCTTTGGATTGGCCTACCTCAGCACCGATGCTCGAAGGGGTTTCCCTTTGCAGGTTAGTTGCGCTTAGTCTTGCCTTTTCTGTAGGCCATCAGGAATGACTGTATTTCCTGACCCTGAAGTGACCTATTGAACCAGTGTGAGCAACTGGAGCTGTTGGCCTTCCCTCGCAACAATTCCATGTGTCAAACCCAAAGGAACCGGTGAACTTTTCTCGGTCCTTCCGCGTTCGAGCGGCCCAAACCGTCGCAGGGCAAGGCCAAGGCGGCGCCCGAGCCGAAGTCCTCTCCACCAAAGGCCCTCGCGCGACCGGGCTTCCGCGGTCCGATCCCGACTCGGGAAGCGAGTAAATCAAGAGTAGGGAAGCAGGTGAAGCTCAAAGGAGACAGTATCAAGTGCAAACTAACATGGCTTTTCTTTCTCACACTTTCGATGTACCTCGAGACCCATCTAGATGTGAAGGCGTGCCAAAGAGCGGCACTTTTTTCAGCACTGGCCTAAACCTTGAGGCTGCACTGCGGAATCCAATCTGTAAATCCGCACTGGACATTCACGTCTAACAACAACTCATGGTGCAAAAGCAACTGAGAATTCATCAAACAGGCATTCAATACCACCTCCCCGTACTGTAACTCGCGAGAGATCATGTAGTTCGCCAAAAGGGAAACATCCCATGCTTTCGGGTGGTGTATTATTTCTTTGGCCAGCATTTACGTGGCTTTGTCTCCTGTTGTGCTTGTGTTCCTTTAGAATCTAGCGCTTCAGAGCACCCATACCGGTGAACGAAGGACACCAAGCACTACTGCCTTTTCTCAAGGGGTTGGCTTGTCTCAGCTCCTCTGCTTCGATTTACCAGGGTGTTGTTGGTTGGTACTCCATTTTCGAGCCATAGTCGGGTGGTTTTGGGGTGATTACTCGGGACCCACAGGAAAGATATGTTCGTAAAAAAAGCTATTGCAGTGGACTACACTCTTCACAACCGTGCTTCCAGTGGAGCTCAGCTCGACCCACGCAGGCTGCTGCCAAGTCGAAGGCCGGTGCGCCACAGAAGAAGGAGGACTTCGACATGTTCCTGTTCCACCAACAGATACACAGATAACATTTTTCTCCTCAAAATCCCTGGCTCCACATCTGGCCGGGCTTTCACAAAGAGATTTTCTGGGATTGGCTGGCCAGATGGATTGGCTGTGCCCAAAAGCCTGGAAGCACCTGAGATGCAGACGGATCAGGAATCTCTGGACATGGGCATTTCGCTCGGATCACAAAGGAATTCGCCACGTGGACATGCTTGAAGGCAGCTATAGCTACGGCCAGCATCTGGGGGGTGTTCTTTAACTCTTCGACCCGTCATCACATGAGGAGGGGCGTCTGTCTTAGTCGAGCACCCGCCAGCGGACCCTTCAGTTGTGCCAGCTTCGCTCGGGTCGGACCAACACGTGGACCCCAGACTCCGCGTCGGGCTGATTTGAACATTTGATTGGTTCGGTTTGGCAGGAGGATACCGCGGCGCCAGAGCGTGTGGAGGTGGTGCAGCCCTTTGAAGTGGTGGAGGCCTTAGGACGGCGAAGGTTGAGTGGAGGTCGCTTGTGGCCTGGTAGAAAGGTGTTTGACCAGTTGGAGGTGGGGAAGACGGAGAGAGATAGGGGCAGAGTGAGAGGTACACAAGGGTTGATGGAACAAACTTCTGAACCGGGAAAGATGTTCTTGATGAAAGGTCGATTCAGGAGGTTCTTCCTTCAGAAGACTGGTGACGCAGCAGCTGGTGGCGCACCGAGGATGATGGCACTGGTGGCGAGTGGGAGCAATCGACGGGCTTGTCCAAGAAGGCGGAGAAGAGGAAGGAGAAGCAGGAGATGATGAAGAAGGAGGCCTGCCAGCAAATGTGATATGGATATGACAGCTTAGCATCTGAGCAAGACTTTAGGAGTGTTTTGGAACTCTCCCTAGAACTGGCTCGCAAAGCCCAGGATCATTTTGTAGGCACTGATCAATCTACATGTTCGGGAGCTCTGGATTTGCAAGGCTTCCTACGAGCTAGGCTAGATTCTCTCCGCTTTGACCAGAGACCTCCTCCAAGAAGGCAAGGTAGGGCCTCAAGACTCAAGACCAGCAATTTGTATAGCTTTTGCCCGTTGTGGCATTCTCTGAGTGCCGACTTATCGACCAAAACCACGTCTTTCTCCAGTTCCATGCCCTCCAAACGGGACCGTCAGTCAATCTCCGCAAGGCGAAGGGCAAGGACCAGAAGTTGATCCCCGGAATGGTGCGCCCATGGATTTGCGGTCGACGGAATGAAACCGTCCCCACCGTGCGGTGGGAGGACACGGTTTCGGGAGACCCGGTCGTAAGGGGATTCTGGGAGACTCGGACTCCTGGAGCGATACTGAAACAGGTCCAATACTTCGGGAGGTTCCCGATTTGCGATCACGGAATCAGATTCATGATTTTGTCCAGCGAAGTGGAAGTTAGATGCCGGAAGTCATTGGAGAGTGTGAGTAGGCCTGGGAGTGAAGTATACAACCCAGCAAATTATATACCTAATCTGACCAGAGAATCAGCATGCTTCAGTTCCCCCCATATACTGTACCAAGATCGACAGGCAGGCTGATTTGTCTGAAACAGATGTGAAGTGAAGGTTAGAAAGTCCACTGTGAATTCGTGGAGTTCTGCAAGGATTGAGCTCCACAACATTATCAAGATCAAGTCATGAAGTCTGTTCAAAGACACACTGCGATGATCAGATTGCTTGAGATCTGATCAATATACACTGTCCACCGTGTCTCCCCTCCACCGACCGTGGGCCTGCAGTTCACGTTCTGCCTCACTTTTTGGCAAACGATGGCCTCTTCCCCCCCAAGAACACTGCTCGCAAATGAGCATTTTCTGCACCAAGAAACGCTGGGTTGGAGGGAAACGGGCAAAGCTAACACTGAAGCAGCTGCTGCAACAAGAAATTGAAGTCTGTTCAAGCAACACACAACCCCGATCCCATTGAGTCATCCCATCGCACCTGACCGTTCATAGTTGTCAGAGATCATAATATGGTTAACACATTGTTCCAAACAATGCAAGACCTATTGACATGATTGCATTTTCTCAGGTGTTGCACTCACTTTCTTCGTGTCTTTCTTGGAGACGCTTCGAAGCACGAAGAAGCCTGCTTCGCCAGATCCATGGATACAGATCGACCGGCGCACGACTTGTTGTTTGGCCGAGACCCAGGTGAGGAGGTTCCGACCCATGCACACGCGGCAGCGCTGCGAGCGTCCTTTGACACCTCATGTCAGAGGCTGGCCCAACTGTTGGAACGAGCAGATGCCGTTCTGGTTGGCAGTGGAGCTGGTTGGTCCGCGGATTCAAAGTTAGCAACCTACAAAGACATCGCTAAGGTGCCTGCCTTGGAGCGGGCTGGGCTTAGCTACTACGATCTGTGCCAAACGCACTGGCTGCTGGATGACCCATCCGTTTTCTACGGCTTTTGGGGCAGCTGTTTAGAAAGCTACCGGAATGCAGTTCCTCATGAAGGACATGCTATCTTAAAGAAGTGGTGTGAAGGCAAAAAGGCCCGAAGAAGCCAATATCAAGGTCGTTTTGAAGAGGCGGGTCTCTGGAATTTCTTCATTTTCTCATCCAACGTTGATAGCCATTGGCGCCGTGATGGACTCTTTGAAGATGCCTCTCTGTTTGAATTCCACGGCACCGTGGAGGACTGGTGCTGTTCCGGAACGGCTGGAGGCCACAAGTTGATCCCCTGCTGCAAAAAGATCTGGCCGGTTCCGGCCGATTTTCGCTTTGAAGTGGATTCAAACATGAGGGCAGAGTCCAAAGACCCTCAAGGTGGTGAAGCTGCGAGAGAGGACCTGAAGGAGGGCTTCAAAGAGCAGTGTCCCTTTCAAGTTGCCAAGAAGAAGGATCCCAACCGACCTCGTTGCCCAGCCTGTTCTAGCCTCTTGAGACCACGAGTTCTTCATTTTGGGGATGGGAAATTCTTCGAGCGCGAAGGTGAGTTAGAGAGGTTTAAGCGATGGAAGGATTGTGTTTGGGAGTGCATGGAGCTCTGTGAAGCTTCAGTGGGTGAATTGAACCCTTCCAAGCACGTACTTGGAAAGGAAGATGCCTTTTGCTTGGCCTTGCTGGAATTTGGGTGTGGCTTGAATGTCCCCACGATCCGCGGGGAATTTGCCAGATTGGTTGATCTATTTCCGGAGAATTGCATTCTGGCACGCATCAATCCAGACTTTCCTTTGGTCTTGGACACAGCCGAGCGCCAGAAGATTGAGATTATGTCCAGTTCATTGACCGTTTTGCAAGAAGTTGACTCCATCTTATGCAAGACTCTGAAGTGACTCCCGAGCTGTCTCCTTCAGCGGCTCCAGAAGCGGCCTCATTTAGAATGTCATTCTGTTTTTCGCGTAGTTGCGTTGGCGGCTTCTGGACAAATGGAGCAACACCCAGACCGAGGGATCGATTTGGATCAATCCCGGTTGCTCCACCGAATGAACTGACCAATTTCGGGTCGAGTCTGAGAAGATTGGTCGAGCACATCGCTCTCAGGAGGATGGAGCACAAGAGAAAAGATCAGCAGCAAGTGCCGAAGTGGCATTTTCCCAGTGATTCACTAGCTTTACCCAGTTTTAGCTATGTAGGGTGGCTCTATGCGTGCCTGGCAGTTGAAGTATGTTGAAGTTGTGATCGTACCGTCGTCTTTTTGGAAGTGGCCAGCCCAGTAGAACCAGACACTGTATCTTCATCCCGAAACAAAGCTCCGAACCGAGAACAAACGAAGGGCTCCACAGAGAAACCTAAGGACCGAGAAAGTAAACAAAACATGCAGTGCTCAGGCAAGTCAAATGAAGTGCTCCGCCAAGTTGAACCTGGAAACTGAAGATCCAGCTTAAGGAAACAAAACCTGCAGCCCTCGAACAAAGTGAACGTAGGTTTATATAGATTCCGAGCACCAAAAGACTTGGAATCCCCCGCGCCCAAACGTGACCAGCCAGTCCCAGTGGATTCCAGTCACTACGGTTGAAACTGGAGTGGAAGTGCTATATACAGGGTTTTCTAGGCTCTAGAGGTTTCATGTGCAATCTTCTCTTCCCAAAACCAGTTCTTTCGATGTCATTTGGCCTTTCCAGCTTTTTGAAGTCTGTCAAGATAGATCTGGAAGGTGTAAACCGTCACAATCCATCTCCCCACTTTGAACCTTTCCAAATCCAAATTCGGGCCCTTCGACTTTGACACGCCACCATCAGGCGCCGATTAACACGGTGCCTGGAATGGCTCCCCCCAAGGCACGGCACGACACCGCGTCGGAGTGACGAGTGACGAGTGACGGACGAGCCGGTCGCTGTGAGAAGACCGAAGTGAGCAGATGTGAGAAGCCGAGTAGATTTCTTTGCTAATTTGAATTCTAATTAAACTCAATTCTAATTACTTATTCTTGTTTCTATATACTAGCTTCTTGTTACTAGTAGTAAGGCCCTTGTTCCTAGTAGCGATGCCAGGAGCCCCTAGTAACCTAGTAGCGTCCTTGCTCCTAGTCAATTTAGCTCCCACCGTCATGGGGTTTTCACTCGTTTCTGGCGCCGTCCGAGGACGGCCGTGCCGGACCTGCGTTTTCACGCGGCCGAGGCAGCCTCCAAGGAGGAGATCGCAGCCTTCATCGCGAGGGCGGCGGAGAAGGGGACCGCGGCGCGCACGGCCGAGGAGGAGAAGCAGGCGTGGAGCGGCGAATCCAAGAGGCAGTTTTTTAATGGAACATTTGCAAGGTAGTGTACAGGGTCCTACCTCCAGGTCATTGATGGCCATGGTACAGCCAGAAGCCTATGCCCTTGCCACATAACACGCAGGCAGCTGCCAACGCGCTTCACACGCAGACCATTAAGGTGCCGGAGAATAAGCAGCTCGGTTGAAGATTTCGGATTCAGATCTCGTGGAAGGCGGGATGCGCCAGTAGGTATGGTATGGAAATATACCCGAATTCATTAGATATGGTACGGAGCACCAGCAATGGCACAAGGATGGCAACATGTTTTGGGTAGTGAGTTTGGATGAGCTTCGGGCATTTGTATCTCAGGGTTGTGAAGTATTAATTTAGCTGTCGAATTGTTTAAATGAATCAGCCAGAGAACACAGGCCATCAAAGATCTGCCCTATTCTGCCCTTTTAGATTCATGTTTGGCCGCTGAGAATCCCTTTTGTACCAGAGTAAGCGCATCGGATCATGACCGTCATGTCTCCCCGACGGACGAGCTTACGCACTCCGGAGCCTGAGCTTGTCTAACGAGCGAAGGCTGTGGGATTCGCTCGTGGGAAAAGCAACGTTTCATAGTGCATATACGAATATGTATAGTAATAGTGCATACATACTACAATACCTTGAGCCATTTTGAACCTCAGTGACCCCTGTTTTGGAGGCAAAACATGGTCTTTCAACAAAGAGGTCAAATAATTCAATAGTTTCAGCATTATAATCTACTATGTAACTATATAATATGGATATTTTCCCGCATGAGCAAACCGTCTGCTTGTGATAATTGAAGCGTTTCAAGACTCCCCCAGCCAGATTTGCTGGCCCTGGGTGGATGAAAAAGGCCCTTTGTCGAAGAGACCGGTGGCGGTCGACAGATCTCATCCTTCAAAGATCTGGCGTTGCCCAATTTCATACCTTTTGTTTTCCGAAGAACATGCACCTGAGTCTTCGAGAGTTTCCAGAGTCTCCAAGTGCTTCTCATCTAAAAGATGAACCTGGGAAGTCACGGGAATCGATGCCTAAAGTTTGGGCACTGTACCACTCAATTTCAGGGTGCATGGTGTATGTTCTAGCTTCGATCTCTGCCTTCAATATATCGTTTTCTCCCACCAGATCCGGGATAGCCCTTGCTCGCCTCAGGATCGGAATCGTCATTGGACCTAAAGGTTCCAAGATCAAGATGATCCAGGAGAAGTAGTAGATGTCGCCAAACATCCCAACTGTTCAAACTAAGTATCTTGATGTCACCTGTTCCAATGTCAGGTTTTTTTTTCGAGTGGCAGAACTTGCCTTTCCCATCTCCTGGACCTTCCACCTACTTTTTTGAGACTCCGAGATCCAGTAGAACACTAGCGGAAGACGAGAGGACCTCTGGGTCGGTGCCAGGAGAAGACGGGCGTGGCCCGTATCGACACCTCGGGTGAGATCTTCACCATTGCCGGACCGCAGCAGGCGAGGACATGTCCAGCCAGCCTCGTTTAGCGGCCTCCAGCGGCCTGGGCCTCCAGGGAGGAAGACAGGTTCCGGTTTGTGGTGCGCCAGACATGTTGGAAGTTTGGAGTGGGGTTTCGATGGAAAGGATTCCAGGGTGGCCAGCAGGACTTGTTCTATACTTCCAGGTGACAGAACATATTTGCTTGGTGCTGTGTAGTTGTTGTATTCTTTTTGTGGGAGCTTATGCCAAAAAGGCAGAAGGTGAGCGGGGATCCGTCTTGCAAGATGAATCAAAACCTGGACCTACTCTCTTGTCTATGTAACCTCTTGTTTATGGCATAAGTGAGCCGCCTTAGAAGGAGGGATGGCATTCACCCCCTGGTCCAATGGCTTTACAGTCCATTCTTCCTCGCACCCTTTCCATGACGCTGACAGCCTGGGCCCGCACCCTCTGACCTCAGGCTGTGGAAATGGCCTATGCTGCTATCAAGGACGTAGATGGGCGTTGTCCCGCTGATCGTCGAGCAAGCTGCCTATTTATATAATTGTCACCACCTAAAATATACTATGATGGTGAATGCAAAGGGTGCCAAGTTGTTTGCTGTACAGATTTGTCACGGGGAGGCTTTCCGAGCCCCCCTCAGATAGAATCATGTAGACTCTTGATGAACAACACGTCCACAATCCGCCATATGACGAAGATACTGTATATATATTATATGTATGTTATGTTATGTTATGTTATGTTATGTTATGTTATGGTATGGTATGGTATGGGATGGCATGGCATGGCATGGCATGGCATGGTACGGTAGGGTATGTATGTATGTATGTATGTAAGAAAATCTGGAGACGGGGGTTTGATCAATCTACCGTCTACATTAGGTGTGTTGAACATGAAGGGACTCGCCCCCTGGAGTGGACCGACAGCCAAATAGCCAAGATCCAAATCTATTGTATACCCAAACAGACGGACCAGGCTACAGCGTCTGTTGTCAGTTGAATGTCAATTTTGCGATTTGCTTAGAGAATGTAAAGATTAAGACCTGTGGGGTAATCACGTCCTCCCAATCCTCAAATACCAAGCAGCGCAGGCCGTTTTTCCCTAAACCTTTAAGGTAGTGCAGGATTGTTTCTGATGAGCCACGACTGTGATCGCACCCTTATAAGAAGAACTATCAGTAACATCTGTGCATGACCTGTTCAGCCCTTTGAAAAGCCCCAGCTTCAGCCCCTGTTCGCCTTTAAGGAGCTCATTGAGAAGGGCTACTGTGCGATGGCCTTTGAGGAGATGAGCCTTTCTGGGGAAATGAACCAGTTCGATGACACTCATAGGTAAGGATAGACCAGTGAAAAAGGGTTTGCACAAGCGATGTTCGGTTCGTCCCTTCGATTTTTCAAGCACCACATTAATGGGTCAAAGCCCAAGGCTGAGGGATTTTCTCCACCAGCTTCACCGGCAAACTCTTTCTCTTGTTTGCAAGCGGATGAGAGTCGAACACCTGAGATTAGGGCAGGGCGAGCGACATCCGCACCCAATGTGCGGATTTTGGATGAGAGTATTTATTTTCTTTTGAAGGATTTCCGATGTGTGGAATTCCACAATATCTTTTTGAGCACCGGACGCCGTGACGCCGCAGGACAGGGGGATCCCAAATTGGTCCATCAATAGGGATTTCGATGCTCGAACGCTAGGGGAACCGGTTTTCATCCAACCTAATAGCGATGGCCTCCAACCTACTAGAGATGGCCTCCAACCTAATTGTAATGGCCTCCAACCTAGAAGCAATGGCCTCCAACCTACTAGAGATGGCCTCCAACCTAATTGTAATGGCCTCCAACCTAGAAGCAATGGCCTCCAACCTAGATGATTTTGATTCTTCAAACCGGAAGGACTTCAAGGAGGAAGGTGTGATGGTTCACCCCTCCGTCTACCCGGATATCATTGGCAAGGGTGGTGTGACCATCAAGGCCAGCTTCGTGAGTCCGACATCGGCGATAGAGGGATTCGAAGGTGGTGAGGTTGTTGAAGGGTCTTTTCATTTCTGCAAAAAGCATAGTAGGATTTGAAGGTGTATCTCAATCTATCATAATCTATCTCCAGAACTCGCAGCTAGTCACCTAGTGAGCTATGAAGTATCTGAACCATTTGGGTTGTGGCTTTTTTTTCACTGTTCTTCACGGCTCACACGCGGGCGGGGTGTCGGCTTCGTAAGACACGACGGTAGGCGAAAACGGTGAATGAGGCCATATTTCGACAACATCCACTGGGGAGTTTTATCCACCATGTTTTCTTTGCTGTTTGGTCTTGACCTCTGTTGCTTTCTGAACCCCACCACGTTTGCTGGCTGCGACACCCGAATGGCTGGGGGTGCGCGACACTCGAAATGCATCGGTTCTTTAGGCCTCAAAACCAGGCGGATCATGCTCCGAGGGGTGCCTTCTCGGCTCATCCTCATGACCGCAGTGGGCCAAACCACTTGGCCCCCCCCCCGCCTTCGTCCGTCGTTTCGGGCACCGAGGACGTCGGGCCCGCGGGACTCCCGGACGAGTTGGCCTTCGGTCGGGGGGGGTGAGGCCTTCAAGACTGAGCTGAATGTCGAAGTGACCATCCCTGAGGTGTCCCGTCCCGCCGGATGTCTGAGGTCGGCGGAAGTGTTTTTGGTGGAAGAGGTCGGTGAAAGGTGGTTGGGATGCCTTGATCC